AATTGATGGGTCTTTGCGGTAAAAAATTAAATTAAAGAAAATTATATTCCTTACTCTTCTCTGCAGGTGTCCTACCGACTGCGCTAGTTATAGTTCGACGCATGAAACTAAATTTTTAAAAAACATTTATTTAATATAAACTTACAAACTGTTACACATTCAATACAAAAGTTCTATTGAAGTATATAGTACGGAGTCCCGAGTGGATCTGAAGTAGAAGAGGGGTCTTGATGCTTAGCTCGATAATTTACATCAGTTCTGTTAAGTTGACTCCAGGGATAATGACATGTTGGCCGATTTGACATCATGGTCCATCAACAAGATATGACTTAAGAACCTAATTCCTGTAATTGAGAGATGCCACCTCATTTCTGTATGGAAGAAGCAGGGAATGATGAAGGCTTCATATATTGTCGTATAGTATTGTGTATAATCTTGACTTCAATGGCCGCAACTTGATATATTTAATAATTTGAATAGACTCATTCAAAACTTTCTTAAAAGAGGCTGGAATTTGTTTCATGGCTAAAGCTGTCTGTGGAGAACACAATGACTGCTGATTCAAGATAAAAATAAATAATTTGTTTCCAGTACTTATTGTTATTAGTTTTTTAATTTTATTTATTCATTCTATGTCTATTTTTGTAAATATTAAGTTTTCTTGAAGTTCACTGTACGCCCCCTAGTGAGCAGACCACAGTGTGGGAAGTCCCAGTATAGGGAAAATTCATTTTTCCAATGTTCACGAGAAAATGAAAAATCATGCAAATATCAGTTAAGAATAATTATATTTTTTATATATTCAATGATAAAAAGAAGTAATAAGAAATGCTCTTTAAGCAGACACCTAAATTTTGGTTTAATAGTATAGATTAAATTATGTAAGAGCCAGCCGCTTTATGACCTGCGCACCATGTCTGGAATTGGTCTATTGTGCATCTTCATTCTTTTTTCTATCTAAAGCTCCTCTTTAAGCTTAATGCTTTTTACCAGACCCGAAAGGGCTCCTGTGTGTATCCTTCACGCCTGGCTTTTCTTCTTCCAGGATTAGGAAACTCAGCATACATAAGGCTTCGTACCAGCAGATAACATGTTGTGCTGTTTCTTCTTCTTCTTGGTGATATCTGCCCGATTTAATGGTGAGAGGTTATATAAGTAAATTAGGTGTTATAAGTAAATTTGAAAAAGTTAAAATTATTATCAAAGTGAGGGGTGATTGAACTATGAGTTTCTCACTCATTAGAACTGCCATGGCACTGCATTTGTTGTTTTTATGCTATGAGGAAAACAAAGATCTATTTCATTTTTGGCTCAATGCAAAAAACTGTGCAATGATATATATANAACATCAGCTTGATTAAGATTGATTAAGATAATAAGCAGAGAGGAATTATATATATGTATATACGGAAAGCAATTCCTCTCTGCTTATATAAAATAAATTTAGCAGATTGACACAAGGTATCAGAGCTAATCAAAGGAAAGCAATTCCCTCTCTGCTGATGTTCCTCAGGGTAGTATTCTAGCTCCCACACATTACAAGGTAAACATAGCTGACATTCCTACCCATCAAATGACCCCCTGACAAGTACACCGATACTTTCAAGTAAATACCTAAAAAATTACTTAGGGTTTTGGCATGAGTAGAAAATAAAATAGAAATTAACTGAGAAAAATCCACTATTTCAATAATATCCCAATTGTGGACAAGATGTAATCCCCAAGACTGTACATCAACAAACAGTTAACATGGAATCCTCACATGATGAAAATATCAAGAAGTTATGACTCTCTTTTATGATTTCTCGAAGAATGCTTGGACTTGTCTCACACAAATAAAAAGTTTCATATAAGCACCTTAGTGCAGCTGATATGGACTTATGGACTAAAAGCGTGGGGTTCAGCCAAGCAATATAACATCTGATGCATCCAAACTGCCCAAATTCATAATTCTAGAAGAAATATCCTTGATACTCCATTTTATCAATGAAACTACCCAAACAATACAAAATATTCCAAAATGAAACCCACACCAAATCACCCATTATTAAATGATTCATAAAACATTCCCAATTAACATAAAACCTTAAATCAGAATCTTACCTCCTGATGGATTCCCTCACACCCTCCTAGAATGGCAGTGGCAATGGTATAGGATCTCCTTTTCAGTGACTGTCACAGTGATCTGGAAGGGAGCGGAAAGGTTTCTGACATGAGGGTTTGTGTGGCTGGATAATTGTTTCTAAAATTTCTTGTAGCTGTTTTTGGTTCATGACATTTGGACATTAAATCATTACGGATGATAACATTGGATACATGTCTTATGTCATGTCTTAAATAGAGAGTATTGTAATATAATGGGTAGTTTCTTCATTTTTCTTTTTAGTTGCATGTATTGACAGTGTTAGTTGTTACTAAATTGTGTGCAGTTGGAAAATAGTTTTGAATTATTCCCACTTGAATATGCACTAGACACTCAAATAGACATGCTAATCTACTTTACCTTCTCAATAATATTATGTTGATTGCAAAACGTTTTACTACAATGTTAGCTTCAATTCATTCAAGTCCCACAAAAAAAAAAAAAAAAAAAAAAAAAAAAAAAAAAAAAAAAAAAAAAAAAAAACTCATTATCGTTTTGAGGAGTTAATAGATCCTAAACAGAAGAACAGAAGATGGGAAGCATCTGCTGTTGTCCTTGTTCTATCAGATTAGTATTTTCTGCTGCTTCCCATCTTCCGTACTTCTGCTTGTACCAGATTCCTTCGTAGAGCTAACTGTATTCTTCTTGGTAATACCTCTTCTTTCTACCTAGTTGTTTTGTTCTCCTGTCAGAGGCTTCAATATCAGTTGTTGTGTTGATAGATATTTAATAAAATTAAATATATCAACTCCATCCAAAATCTGAAGTTGCTCCAGAGTGTATAATTCACCGTTTATTAATAATTCACTCTTAAATGAGTTCTGAGTTTTCTTTTAAACTATTAAGCGAATGATATAATTTTTTTATAAATTGGGTGCTGTACAATAAGCATTTGAGAGATAACGGTTCTTCCATTACTCTCCCAAATTTTCCTAACTAATTAGCTATCAAGGAAAATTAGCCTGCGTTAATGAAGAGGGCCGAAATCGTTTTTTTCGTGACAATACAAGATTGTTGGTGAAAAATGTGTACACTTGCTCCGGAGTATTCCCAGATACAAAGAACGTTAATTTCCAAACAAGGAAATATCATAACAGCTTTGTTTAAACTGGGGAAAAAAACTTTTAAAAAAAACGTCAGATATTAATATTAACGAAACAAATCTCTCTACGTTTGTTAAGTTTCATTGACTGTTAAACGGCCATAATCAGCCGGTTGAGGTTTGACGGCCATCAGTCAACGGTACATCCATCTAGAATGGCCCATCCTAACGAGCGTTCGAACTTGGCCAAATGGCAAGCAATAAAGGAAAGGCGTCGGTGTGTAGAAAATGACTTTAGGAGTCGTCGATAAATCATCGAATGGTAAGTGCCTAGCCGCAGATATCAGGTGTAGAGCCCGGGGTCATTGTCACGATAGCAAAGGGTGCATCGCGGCCAAGGGGAACAATGCTCTCCTCTTCCCGTCTCCGGGATTAAACATTGATTGAAGATGGTCAGAGATAAAGTTATTTCCGATGAATAACAATAGGCAGTTTGCGCGCCGTGGGAGAGATTTACATCAGATTATACATCTAAGCCGTTTTTGCTCGCATGGGCGGAGTATTTTAAATAAAATATCTTAAACGGCGTGAATTTAATGCGCGCCCACGACGGGTCAGAAGACACGCCACAGTGCGATTGAGATTATAGTGAAAATCCTGTTTGAGTCGTAAATATCTCCGCGAAGATGGGATTAGCCACGCGCTAATGAATACTAACAATTCTAAAGGTGAAAATTCTATAACGAAAATGTAAACTTTTAAAAATACATCAGCAAGAGCTGTTAAGTCATGGAAAATAATAATTCCTTCCCGCAATGTCATTCAAATGACTTGTTAATTTACATAATTTTTTACTAATGAAGAAGATGAAACTGTTAGGTTCTTCCATTTAACTTTTCCTATAGATGACAGCTCAAAGACCAAGTAAATTTTCTTTAAAGTACATGCTTTTAAGTTATAAGAATCAAAGTGTTTTTTATTCTTTACTTTCTTGTCAAATAATACAAACATACCGCTCGTCCGTCAGATATCATAATATTCATTTCAGAAATAATTTTCTTGTATATTTACTACGAACTTCACGTTTTGACAACAATGCCCATCATTATCCTATTAATTTTAGGCTCCCAGTTCGCCCATACTCTGTCCATCTTCTGTCAATTTCCATTCCTTCCAATTACTTATTCCGTTTTCTACTTCAAATCCTTTACATTCTACCCACTTTGCCAAAACATCTTCGCTATTTATCACACAAAATCCCTGATTTCTAATTTGGTTTCCAGCAGCATTCATGCGAACAACTCCATAGAATGATGGACACAATTTTAAAACACGATCGCGCCAGTGTGTTTATGTTAGGAATGTATAACGAATGGTCAATAACAAAGAGATAGAGAAACGCATATCTCGGAGATTTGATCATTTGTAAGGCTTCCGAATCCAAGCTTTGCTTCCGAATCCGTCATTGGGGCGATAGTAAAGTAATCCAGGTCTTTACAGTTCACAAAGTTTATTAACTAAAATGCAGAAGGGATGTATCGAAGCCGAAGCAGACACACCCCTTCAAAGCACAATCATTCCATAAAAATCTAACATAGCTCTAGCCTATTCATCTGTACTTTTGTTACCATTGATTGATAGGCTAAGTTTTTGGAGGGTGCTGAAACTCGGCCCTTTTTTCACAAGGTTTTTGTTGGGATATATTTTCCATTATTTTCCAAACTGTATAAGACTAATGTCCAATTAATATTAATAATATTTTAACTGAAACGGATGAAGTGATAATTAATGAAGCACATGTCTATAGAACATATGTTATATATGATCTAAAAATATTTCAACATGTCGATTTGATCATAGTTCATATTTCATCACTACAATATTAATACTAAAACTAACAGAAAATTTTTAAATTAGTTAAAACAAATGTAATGAGTGAACATAAATGTTACATTGTTGTAAAGACACAGTTATCTTTTTAACACGTGTATGTTTGCCAGAAGTATGTGGCTGCAGATTATTTCAATGTTAAAGCTGTTGGATATGGCATCCGGCATAGCTGGTGGATCCATAGCGAACTACACAAGACACAATTTTATCGTATCGGCGCAGAATACAACTGGATATCACTTCTTTGCGGGAGTTATTATCTCGGTCTATCACGTCCTCAGTACCTGCTCGGATTTGGCGGAAGTGTCTGAAGCAGGAGTCATGCCTCTGGAGAATCTCGGCAATGTTCAGTTAGTAGCCGGTGAGACCATAACCAATCCGGAGCAGATAAGGTACCCCGAGAGAACGTACATCCACCCGGCGTGCAAGTTAGGACCTGAAATTATACAGTTTGACCTTGCCATGTACAAGGTTTTCGAGCCGTGGGACTTCGGAGGTCGCGTGAAGCCGGCTTGGTTGCCTAACGCTGACTGGGTAGTACTCAACAGCATCTCGAGAGAAATGACGGAGAACTCGGAAAAATGTACCATCGTCGGCTGGGGGACCGAAAATACTGATATGTTTCTGAACCTTCTCGAGGCCGATGTGGAGCTCAGCTCCTGGGCAGAATGTAAGAAGAATTACTGCAAGAGGTGCCCTAACTTTGAAGCGGCCAATCTTTGTACAAAACCGAAGAAGAAGGTATCGGTCTGCGACGGTGACCAGGGCGGACCGATCATCTGTCGCCAGGTTGTTTGGGGTGTAATATCATACCCACGTGCTGAATGCGGTGAACCCCATTATCACAGTTATGCACGCACTGGCGCCCGGACGACTAGAACTTGGATCAAAGATATCTCCGGCGTTATGAGTTTAGGTACAGCACTTGTCGGCAACCTCGTGTTCATTATCCTATGCATTTTGGCTCAATTACATGTTTACTAAAGGTCGTTTTTTGTTATTACATCATATGAGTGTTTAGTCCATATGTCGACCATTTACAATCTGCTTAGGAAAACTCAAGCTTTGTTTTTTATTTTTCATATGAATGGTTTTTCAAAGCCAAATATTATCTCTGCTATCAGAGAGAGGTTTAGCCATGTCAGGTATTTTAACTTTTTGTCGCTTTATTTCCACTTTCGATGAATTCTCTCAATTCCTTGACTTCCTGCCATTTTCTCATAGTATGTAGGTAGTGGTGGCAGCTTGAGCGTACGTTCCATTGTGGCTGTGGCTGTTGTTTTAGTATCACCAATTATGGCAAGGCACGTTATTCTTTGGAATTTTTATAGAATTTCCGCTGTCTTCTGTGTTCATTTTTGGCAACATATGAGTGATCATGGATCTGAGCAGCATTTGGGATTTAGCCACAAGTTCTTCCACATTGACTGGGCATATTCACTGTGCCTTCCACATTAACCTTTGGTCAATAACTACTCTTATGTAACTATTTGGAATAATTTAGTTTATAGTGTCGCAAAGTTAGGGCGGAATGATTTAACTTTCTTTCTGGTGAGTTTCATCTTTTTCTTCTGTACCCTCCCCTTGTAAGTATGTACATATGTATGTACGCTTTTGGAACGTTTTAATTAATCACAAAAATCGTCAAATCGTCGTAATCGTCAAAATTAGCATGCTGGGCTTCAATAATTTTTGATATTGTGAGTCTTAATGATATTAAGATAATAAAACTCTTTACAATTTACAAATTAGTCAGTTTCGTAAGCAGACAAAAATACTTTAATGTGTTGAGTAATTTGCAACAAATTATTTCAACCTTAAGTCTGTTATCTATTAACTTTTTTTATTATTTATCTATTAACTGTTTTTGAATCCTACTAGACAACCAGGCAATTTGGTAATTTAAGTAGAATTACCAAATCAGCACGTTCCCAGTATACGTTTTATCGGCTCGCTCTTCGAGAAATTACTTAAAAATTCTCATAATTCTACAGTGGTCTGAAAGGTCTGATAACCTCGTCTTTTAGGAATAAGATCCAAAAGGTCCATGTAGGATCGATATTGTATTACGCAGCTCTAATCCGGGGCTTCAAAGAATACTCATTAGAAGGAATTTAACTTGTGAGATTTCCTCCTATGGTCTGAGGGGTGATAAACTTACAGTTACCTATCGTAAGTGGTACACTATCCTCGCTGAACCTTGTCAGTCAGACGCGTTTTAGCATCTCGCCATCTTCAGTGTTTAGGAAATTTCTGTGAAGTTTTAGTTACGAGGTCGTTGATGGTTTGATGGTGTCCCCCACGGCTGCCAAGGTACACTCCAGGGTCTTTATCCACTTGGAAACCAAACAGGCACCTCTTTCACACTTCGCGCTAAACATGCACATGAAATACATCATTAAAATCACGTCTAAGCCGAACCTGCAGTGGCTGAAACAATGCTTTTATTAATAAAGCTAAAACCAGCCCAAAATATTATGAATCCAATCCAAAAGTTAGCAAAGGTAAATCGGCATATTACTTCACCACTCATTTCAGTACCATGATTCCAATTTTTTCCGTTCTGTAAACGGTTTTATTACCATGTCACTATAGAATTTCCGGTAACTGTTTTACACAACTTTTTAAGAAAAAAAAATGAAAAATTTACCTGTCTTTATTTTCTTTGCAACGCGTACGTACGCTATTCAGATTCCAAATACAACAAGAATTTGAATTTGAAGACCAATCTTGGTTTTATTAAGGTGCTGTAAACCTTTTTATTGTCTATGTTTTTTTAAAATTGTATGTTGTTGTGTCTGTAAGCCAAGTTGAAGGCAAAGTATAAAGTTGTTGAGTACTTACTCATATCATACATTTTCCATACATGGAGAATCACTTACGTTGTTCTTTAAATCAACGATTCTGTTGAATATGTGCAGTTTTACACATTTCCGTGCATTTCCACAACTGGCCAAACTGGCTGCATTTCCACATCAGGGAGGGGACGTCGCGTCGCCAGGTTGCTTCTGTCTGCCGGGGAGTCACGAACTTTGAGCAAAGAATATCAGGCACTGGTAAAGATGCTCAACTGCATTCTTAGAAAACCAAGACCATGTCTTTTGTACATTGTATTTGAACTCGAGTATATTTAAATCAGTTCGCCTTGATAAAGTTGAATTATTGTTTGCACTTACTTGGCAGCTATTTTCATTCAAATGGAAGTACAATATCACTTCTGCGCATGGTTAGTGTAATCCAAGGAAATTGGCATGTTAAAATTAAGGTGTTAAGTGGTCTACATGAACATGCTTATAAGCCTGACGAAACGACATTTGACTATGAATCTTTCTGTAAAATAGTTAAAAATGTTTGTAAGTGTTGTATCTAGCCTATACTAGAAAGTATTATATTTTTTAAATAACAATACACTCCTACAAATATGGTGCACCAGTAAAGATTAATATCAACAGACCGAAATGGACCGAATCAGGGGAATAATCAAAAACCACACACTATCTGCTCGCTTAGAGCAAAACAGAATGACGATATGTATCTTGAGAAATATCCATTCTCTTTTCCATATCTCGTTTAACGATTGTAAAACATCGTTAGGAGTAATTTTATTCGGGATAAGAATATTATTGTTAGCCTGATGGGTCGTGCAGAACGCTGTCCTTCTTTTATGTGGGACAGTCGTGGCCTTACGTAAAGCTCAATTCCTATTCTTCTATTTTATTTCTTCTGACATCGGCCAAAATTTTATTTCGATGTGTACAAAAATAATATTAAAAAAATTTAAAGGCAGAAAAGGAGATTTTATTTGATCTTTACATATTCATTGTCTTGTAAATGTCTTTCATTCTTAGTTGGTGATAAAACAATTCATGTTTTTATGTTATAACAGTTCTTTATTCCAAAAGGTAAACCTATATTTAAACCTTTTCTAGATAAATTTTAAAAAGTAAGACTCGGTTTTTAATTTAATTATTTAACCTACGAGCTAAATAATATGAAAAATTGGAATGTAATGGATTATATAAATAATAAATCTTACAAGGCAAAATTGAATAATTCTAATTATATATTTTTGAATGGAAATAGACAATAGGCTTATTTTTTTACGAACGTTGAAGACATTAACGATGGATAAAATAAGCATAAAGCTCCTACGTCGAAGCCTGTTCCGTTCCTGTTATGATAGCCTATTGTTTATGTTTAATAACATGTCGTCCTTTGATGATAGACAACCACACTACAAAATAATAGTGAATTACATGAACTGCAAACAGTAAAAAAACGAAAAAGGGATAAGAGTAAAGAAAAAAGTATATGATTATAAAATGACAAACTGTAAAATAAGAATACCCTATAAAAGAATACCGGAAGACCATGTGATTTGTAATTGTAATTTACTCGTTACTGATAATTTTTGGATAGTTTAGATGCGCAGTTGATAGCGAGGCTAGCGACGCCTCAACTTCTTAGGGATCTTGGAATGAGTGGAAAGGACAAGTAAGAGGGAGTTGATGTGAATAGATAATTTTGAGAGGAATTTGAGTTATCGAGACGTCTGATGTATTTGTGTGTGTGTGTGTGTGTGTGTGTGTGTGTGTGTGTGTGTGTGTAAATAGTAACCTTTTGTCTTTATTCAGTCCCAATCATTTAACTCGATCTGCCGCAGGATATGGAATTTGATTCGGATAGTAGGAAGCGTTTTGCGTTTGAGAGTAAAGGACACTTATTGCGATTTGTTTTAATGTTTTTTAAAAATTTTGATAAACATGGTTCTAAGAAAGGAAATGGTTTTGGAGGGATCGAGACTTGCTGTGAACATTTCTGTCAGAGTGTGTTAGGGTACTACTACCCCTATGTTGTTCCCTTTAAAAACATCACAGGGATAGAATTATTCGTAAAGGTTGAGGTTCTGTAAGTAACATGAAAAAAAAACTATCAGACAGGTAGCATTTTAGGGTGAGATAGTATGTACTAGAAAGGAAGGATTTGAGTTTGAGAGGTCGACCTACGCGATCATAAGCCGACAACAACAGGAAGAATTTGGCCAATTGGCCTAATTATTGTGGTAATTACAGAAGCCAAATTAGAAGAATAATGTTGTTTGTAAATGGAGATTTTGCAAGCGCTTTACTACTTACGTGATAGATTCGTTGGAAGGAGACTAACAGGACGTTACGAAGAAAAATTGCCAGTTGGTTTGTTTGGCTTGTGGATCATACATGCGAAAGTGAGTGGACAAAGAAAGGAGTAATAAATTGCAATGATCAGTACTATCGACTAGTTACGAAAATAATGTAAAAGTTTTGACGTTATTAGATCATAGCTCGGACTATTATTTGTGGGAAGAAACCTTGCTGTTCACGTGTTTTACTTCACTACATTATTTTTGTTCTAGTTTGATTGCTAAACGGTTAAACACAAAGTCATTACTAACCTGTATACAGCACTCACCACACCGTACATTTCTTTAAATCCAGATGTACATGGTATTTTTATAAAGTTTAAAAAAATACCAAGACCAAAATTTCCAAACATTATTAAAATGGATTTGTGACCAAGTTGGGCGTAATCGAAAACGAAAAGGCGGACGAAATGTCAAGACAGGGCTCAACTAGTACTCCTCGATATTGGGTCCTCTTCAGTGATCTCTGCTGACACTTCAGAAGTCGCCTAGAAGCCCTGTGGGCGCGTAAAACAAAGGGAATCCTCTTAAAGATTCTTCCAGAAAGAAAAAATCCTTTTATCAAGGCTTCGAATTGACCTGATGCCATACCCATATGGTGCCTCGGCTACATTGGGAACGAATTCGTAGTGGTTCGTGGCGACGACTCTGGCGGGAACTTAGAGAAGAGGCTGTTCTTCTATCTGGGACCTTCGCTCGAGCACTTGCGTATGACGGTTATAAACCCGGCCCGACGGGATACGAAGGATCGGACCATCGAACCGTTTAGCGTTGAGGACGCTGAGACTACGCTGACGGAGTCCCTCGAATACGTGAGAAGTGGCGGATAGGAATAGATAATGGTCGGATGCGCCTATTCGAAGTATGTAATGTACACGAATGGCGACCTTTACCGAAGGCAGTCTTCTCTAGGAGGTGGTTAGCAATTTCACTTTAAACAAAACCGCGGTCGGAGCGGATCCGGAAGTTTCTACGCTAGGGGAGCCCCAATACTCTGGAAGATAAAGTAGCCTTTTCTATCTAGGAGTGTCCGGGAAACCAGGCTAATTTATTTCGGCTTTGCGCGCGGCATACTGGTCGATGTTCAATGCGGACCCAACCACTCGTAGTGGGCAAGCGGGGAGCGAGGTTCGTCTTGACCCCTCGGGGCTGGGGCGGCCTCTACACCAACGCTGCGACTGTAACACCCTTCAGTCGTATGCAGAAGTGCGTCAGCTCTCATCTTGAGAATCAAAACGTCCGATAAGGCCCAATCAGCCAGGTGCGGACGTTAAAGATCCTCTTTGTCCTTTTAAGGAAGACCAAGAATGCGGACCTCATACCCCATATGGTGTTTTTCTTCCTTTTTGGACTAGAAAGATCTATCATCAGCTCTGGCGCTGAGGTTAACCGACGATGAAGACAATTTTCCCTTTCCATCCTAACCCTTTCCTTTCCATTTTCTTCCCCTTACTTCTCTTCTGCTTTGGCAGGGTAAACAGTTGTGCGTTTTTAGGAAGATTGAATGATAGTCTTACCTCAAAAACAAAACTGGACCACGGTCGAGGGCGATTTCAAGTACTTCCATTTGAGGTTTGGATCGTGTTGGTCGTGTTTTGAGAGCAACTTGTACTTTAGCTGAAGGGTACCAGCGACTTAAACCGAAAGGTCTTCTTTATTTCTCAGGAAATGGCTGAAAGCCACAAAACTGCCTTTTAAAGCATATGTATCGATGTGCTCTTTTTATAGCACTTCTAAATCTGATTAGCATTGCACCACCTCGCTTGCCCATGACAAAATTTCCTGGTACAATCTTCAGAGCCCGGACGTTAAAGATCCTTAGTCTGATTCAACTCAGCTGAGTAAAGTTTAGAACTTGTGACGAGATGCCAAAACCCGCCACCAAATCCTCAACATCCTCCACCCCATACTAAATTACAAATCAACATAATAAAAAATGTCATCATTATAGTAGATATGTTACATAAAATACACACATTCTATTTATTCTTGTTTTGGTGTTCTGCTGGTATTAAGTGTTGTCCTTTTGATGGGGACTCAAACGGATGTTCGGGTGTGAGTTGATCCTGGGCTCGATTGAGGGGTGCCCGGTACTTTTAGATTAAAGCTTGTAGGAGGTGACGATGGTTGCTAGACACTGACTCCTCCTGGACAAAGCCATGCGCGCATTGTTCGAAATGAATAGTCACGAGAAATCCATGGGTTTTCATTCTTTCTCTGCCCTAATGACCAGTAAGCCCTTAAAAAATAAGATAAAAGACCAATTAATTAACGTGTCAATCTAAATAAAACTTGTAATAACTGTTAGTTATATTATGTGATGAACGATAAATGTAAAAATTCCTAGCCATTATTCTATTGATAATGGCACACTTCAGACTATCCCGCTGAAATAGTAATAATAGATAAAGTTCAAATTTAACATGTGTGCAATTTGGTGCATAAAGATTTCCGTCACTGGACTGATTTCGCCTCATTTTCTATCAATATGTTCCTCCTTTAAAGCACAATTCCCGTCTCGTCTCAGTCTGGTGGGCCGGGGGAGCGGTTGTTGAGAAAATTGGCCGGTTACTGAGCCCGGCGGACCCCCAGCCCGTGGCTCAAAACAGAATTATAACGAGGCAGGTCGCATTATTCACCGATTTCCCTTTTCGCTTTTTATTCGCACGTATTTTCCATAAGGGGGGAAAACCGAACTGGGATTATTTCCGATTCTCTTCGCCCAAGTCCCTCAGTCAAGTGCTTGTTTTTTTAATTTTTTCTTTTCTAACCACATTCCTAAGTCGAGGAATTTTAAGTGGCGATTATTCTAAACAGATGAATCTCTGGAATAAATTTGACTTTATGAGAATTGAACCCTTCGAATAGTGCGATGTTCCGTATATTCTACATATTTATATTCAAACTCTACATATTCAAGTAGAACAAACTAATCGAACAATAAACGGTAATAAAATTAATAATAATCTACTACCTCACATATCATTGAGTCTAATAAAGCCAAAACAACTTTTTCTTTCTCATTCCACCTCCTCATCTGTGAAAAATATGCTACAGAAACAATTTTTTAGACTGCTGTCAGGAAGCATTTGAAACGGGGTCCGTTAGGTTAATAAACTTTATTGTAAATAATTTATGTGTATCCTGTACATATTAAAATGCATATTACAGTGTGCATGTTTATTTTTTACTACTGGTCAAACACTGATAACCTGGAGCACACAGGTTTAGACAAACCAGCCAACTGTGGGGATTAAATGGCGAGGAGGTCTAATGGTATCGCCCAAGGCTTAGGCACTAAGGTTAGGATGATTCGAAAGCTTAGTTTGGAACTTCTAGATGCAGAATCGGATCAGTTCATTGACAAAATGAACGTTAAGGCGGTTGTAGTTAATGAAGTTGGTGATTTAATAAGGTGCTTGGTCAATTCATCTGAGATGTTTCGATTGGAAGGATTTGATACACTTGATATTGGACGGATTGGTAGAAAACACCGTATTAGCTCCGACTCCGAGCGGTTGCAGTGAGGTCTTATATGAAGTTAGCCGATTTTTGACGGTCAAAAACAGATTTCGGTCCTAAAAGACTTCGTAGATGTAGTTACGATTTCATTGTCAGTTTTAGTTTCTTATGTCAATTCCTTGTCAGTCTAGGTGTTAAATATCTGAGAAGAGTGGAAGTTGACTGCTCCTTAAAGTTGATTGACAGTGGAGGGCAAGACAGGTCAATTTGCTTGACCTATCATTTTTCCATCGTTACAAAAATGTCCGATATGTATACGGATTTATTATTCTTAATGTCAGTTATTTTTCGGTAATTGGTTTACAAAACATTTTAACCCAAAAAAAAAAACTGTAATTTTCGACTAAAAATAAAGGCATAAAAATTAATAAATACATAAATATTGTTATTGTAAGATTGTAAGAAAGAGATGAACGAGGGAGAGAGAGAGAGAGAGAGAGAGAGAGAGAGAGAGAGAGAGAGAGAGAGAGAGAGAGNGAGAGAGGGAGAGAGTGAGAGAGAGAGAGGGGTTAGACCATTTTACACACTTTTGCTAAATTAATCTCAAATAAAATTCGAAGAGATGTTCCGAGATTCGAAATTAGACCTGCTAGAGTGGGAAATTGGAAGATAAGTTCTCACTGTATAAAATGGTTGATGATTTGCGTAGAGTTATATTTAACGTAAATTTGTCTTCACCGTCGAATTTTTTATATAAAAAAAGTTAGTTGTTCAAATCCTATGTTTTGCGGTATACAACTCCCTTAAAATATGGAATTCAGAAAAAATCAAAAAGTGGAAATGTTATTTTATTTGTTTAAAATTATTTTAAACCAATTGGCGTGAATTGTTGGGAATAATAAATTCGTTTAAATATCCAAAAAAAGATTGTAGCCATATAGAAATTATACGTCAAGTAAATTTTGATCATTTTGGCTTGCCAGATAGCAACGTAATAATTGTATTACAAAGGGTACTTTTAACCTTAAATGGCTATTATTTCTCGCCAATTTAGATTGATCAAAACCTGGAGGATCAGGGACTAAAACATTTCTCCAAGCAACGAAACAACCATAAATCCTAGAAAAATGTGATATTAGTCAAGTCTTGTTCACTGACGTTATCTTATTTATAAGCGGTATTTTATTGTTTTCTATATTTTGCTTCATTTAAAAGAAAATTCCTAGGCGACCGACATAGAAACGATTCTAACAGAAAACCTGACCTTTCACAAGCTAGTCTAGGAAATTTATTTGGTGCTTGGTCACAGTTTCAACAAATTTCTTCAGTATAGAAGGACAATTTAAGATTATTGATGTGATTTTTTTAATGATAGACGAATCTTTTCTGCAAATATAATAAAGATATTATAAAGATAATAGAAATATAAAGAAATAATAGGTCACAAGCAAAGTTCTTCTTCTGATCTTCTTCCCTTTTTTTCTTGTAGTAAAAATGTTAAAAATTTAGTTTGCTTGCAGTTCCACGAGAAATGAAGAGAGTTGAGCGGTGAGATACGTGCCAAATAGATTAATTTTTTTTAACAAGAAACGATTGATTTAGTTTTTTTGCACCCAAAAAAACCCGAATCAAATGTTTAGTGATTTTTGTATTGATTTACCTCACAGATAGTTTAATAGAGATCCTATATTTTCAAATTTTTCAGTACCTGATTTTAGCAAAGTCTAATTTGAAAATAAGTAGTGTTCAGTTTCATGATTTTTTTTTCTCTTCCAATTAAAAAGTAATAGTGTAATCTAGCAGGCAAAATCCATAACTCCTCTGGTTTTTATCTATTTTTTTATATTTTGCTTCGTTTGAAAGAAAATTCCTCAGCTACCGACATAGAAACGATTTTAAGAAAAACCCGCCTATTTGAGATTCAAAATATGCTATTATTATAATCAGGAAGGGGATTTCATAAGCAAAGTCTAGCAAATTTATCTGGTGATTGCTCACAGTTTCATCAAATTTCCTCAGTACTGAAGGACAATTGAAGATTATTGTTGTGCTGAGTGGATTTCTTAATGATAGACGAATCTTTTCTGCAAATATAAGAAAATATCTGGTTACAAGCAGAGTTCTTCTGACCGTCTTCCCTCTTTTTTGTGTAATAAAAATACTGAAAATTTAGTTTACCTGCCGTAAAGGCGCGTCATTCAGCGAGAAATCAAGAGGGATGAGTGGTGAGATCCGTGCCGGCGGGGGTGGGGGCGGCGTCCGTCTTTCACGGGCTCAGTCTCGTTCCTGCGTTAGAGCGGTCGCATCGACTCGCGGCCCGTGAGTTGTGTGAGAATGCAATTGTGAGAACCCGTGCGCGATGTCGTCCGAAAAGAGAGCCGGCCAGGGTTTCACCTTCATCAAACGCGGCCACAGCGTCAGGACCAAGGAGAAGAAGAGGTAATCGCTGAAATCCAAATCCGACCTTTTTTCCTTTTTCGGACCTCCAGACTCGGGTGCCGAGACGGGGGTGAACGACTCTTACGGAAGGCCGTGAGAAAGTGTAACAGTCGGCGGAAACGCTTTTGTTACCGATCCCGAGCCTTCCGATCTCTTGAATCACGTCTCCCAGAGATTTTAACGTTGGTTTAAGAAATACAACTCAACGTAATCCATCTGAAAGAACGCCTCATCTTCACCGCCCTAAAGTAACCAAATCAAAACCAACCCTTTTTAACTTAATCATTTCAAATTCGTCAAATTGTTCATAAAAAATGTAAATTTTTGTTTCAATCACAGACAGTTTAATTAAATTCGATCTTTTCGAGTTCTTTCAATCCTTGATTTTATCAAAATGGAATCTGAAAGTAACTACTCAGTTTAATAAATGTTCTTGTTAATCTTTTGCTTAAAAAGCCATGAAATAATGTTGCAAACTAGTAGGTAAAATACATAACTCCTCTGGTTTTTATCCAATGCCGATAGGATTACAGTTGTTGGAAAGGGTAATTCCTCTTCTTCGAGGGTATGTTAACAATTTTGATTTTTACGCCATTATAAATATTTTAAAAAAAGGATGAAAAATCAACAAAAAGAGGCAGGTTTATTCAATTATATATAGGTAATAACTCATAAGGTTCCCTAACATTTATTATTGCTCTGTTCAGTTGTTTTCAGTATATCCTTCTTTTAACAAACACGAAAAAGACGACGAGCGAATTCGAGCTTCATATTTAAATGCAATACATAATTTATGACCAAGCGACGTAGCCAAGTAGATTAAAAAAATTTTAACAAGAAACAAATATTTATAGAATCGTTTTTTTTCCTCCCCCTAAAACCCCGAATTCAAATGTTTAGTCATTTTTGGGTTGATTTAACTCACGGATATTTCAATAGAGATCCAATATTTTAAAATTTTTCAGTATCTGATTTTAACAAAGTCTAATAAGTAGCGTTCAGTTTAATAATTTTCCGTCAATTAATAGTGTAGTTCAGTAGGCAAAGCGCATGACTCCTCTGGTTTTTATCTAATGTCCAAAAGATTACAATTGTTGGAAACATTACTTTTTTCTTTTTTTTAACAATTTTGGTTCTTATGTCATTATAAATTATAAAAATAGGGTTGAAATCAACGAACACTCCTCACACACACCTTTTATTTTATATTTCGGGTTCTGATTTGGTTGCTGATTTACGGCCAGATTTGTTCCATTACTTGTAGGTTAATGCTTATAAGGTATCTAAAGTTCTAAAGATTGCTAAGGACCGGTTGAGTTGTTTTCAATGCTTTACTTTTTTGTAACCACAAGAAAAAAAAATCTATGTAACCAAAAAACCCGAATTTAAATTTTGGTTATTTTTTGTTAATTCCAATCACAGGTAGTTTAAGAGCTTTTCGACCATTTTGAAATTTTTCTATCCTTTATTTTGTGCAAGTCTTATCTGAAATTAAGTATTGTTCAGTTTAATCAATTTTTTCAGTTGTTCTTTTTGCTTAAAAGTCGCAAAAATGACCGAATAAATAATTCGGACCGAATTAATTATAAGCTATAATCACAAGTTTTTAAACTCATAAAATTCTCTACGGGTAGGTTTCAGTTCTTTCCTTCGTTTAGCAAACACACAAAAAAAAAATCAATTCTGATGTCGATCGAGTTTCCTATTGAAATGCAATTCATATATATATATATATATATTTTATTTTATTTTTTTTTAAAGAAACAGTTGATTTTTAGGATCGTATTTTCACCCCAAACAGCCCCCAAAAACAAAAATATCATAAATATTTTAATATGGATTCGATATTTTCGCATTTTTTCAGTCACCGATTTTGTCGAAGTCTAATTTGAAAATAAAATGATAAGAAAATGACTGAATAAATTAGGGGAATTAATCCGCAAAATATATGAGTTTTTAAAACTTCAAACTATTTTACTCGAAAAGTTGTACGGAACATCGTAAGTAGGAGAATGTATTTTTCCACTTTCCTAAATTTTATTGGATTTCAGATATTTAGACATGCACTGTAAAATTGTCGAAGCTTTTCTCACAATCACAGTGTGACAATAGACTAAAAAATTAAGTATAATCTACATTTTTCAACCAATTATTTCTAAGAATTTACTTTATGTAACTTTACTATAGATTGCGAATACTACAAAATTTTTAGTACAAACAAGTTTGACATACTTTACATTATATATGTTGTAATGTATATTACAATTTATCCTGCGAGTTTTTTTAAAAGATGACCTTTTATTTTTACGCTGCTGATTTTATTCTTAAACTAAGTGTGGTCGTTAAGGTAATTTTAACGTAGTATCTTCTGGTGCTATTAGACTTTTATTAAGTTGACCCAATCTGGTGATCAACATTTTTTCAAATGTCAATTTAAATATTCATATTTTGAAAGTACTTTCCATTAGCAAAAAATGATACCAGAAAGTCAGAAATTCATAGATTTGTTCTAAAATTATTTCCTTCTTAATTCGATAATGTCTATTTATGTACGTGGTTAAAAAAGGAGAACATTAAAAATTTGTTTTGCTTCATTTTTTAAAATTCAATTTCAAACGACAACTATCAGTCAGTCACTACATAAATTGAAATGATTGACTTTTGAAGGAAAACTTCAATATCTCCAGAACGAAGTTTTGAGTATCTAGTACAATTTTTTTAGAATAAAACGGCTTAAAAAATGTCTGAAAAAATAGGGCCCAACATTTGAGAAAAAGATTACCAGGTTGGCTTAAAGCGCCAACTTATTCAAATTTCATTAGTGCCAGCAGATTCTATGCAAAAATTTACGTTCGGAACAATTTGAAGTTCTCCTATAAAATAGGCAGCGTGAAAATAAAAGGCAAGGTCTTTTATAAAAACTCGCACGGTATAAATTATTGATTCAAATGTCTTAATTTATTTGCATATGTATTGCAACAATCGGTATTGCATGATGTTAAGAAGATTTGAATGGCTGACTAAAGCCGATTTTACTATATCTTGGAGATTTTAATGATGGATCAGACAAATATGCGCATGACCTACCGATAGTATCAGGTTCTATTTTTTTAAAATAATTTATTCTTCACTTTTTCCTCTTAACTCTTGTTTTTCTTTAATTTTTGAACTGGAAGTTTAATCCCTTGAATATTCATACCAGTTATTTTTTGTTTAATAGCCTCTTCTGCATGCTAAGCTTTGCATAGAAAAAACTTCGCAAGTGGTTTTAACCAGATTAATTATTTGTAATTAGGAATGATTAAAGTTAAGACACATTAACATACAAATGTTATACAATTTGTGCTAGCTTTTCTCACCCCTGTAAAGAATGCTCAGTGGTTAAAATGAAATTAAAATGAAAAATATATGCACTTAGAAAGATATAGAAACGTTGATTATATATCATACCTAATATTCTTTTTTACAAAAAAAAGTTAACTTTCGTTTGGACGACGCCTCAAGAGGGAGGAAAAGTGCCCGAAGGTTAATTACGCTGCCCAACGATCTGTGAAGTTGACGCTTAATCTGAAGGTGCATAAATCCGTCATAACGTTTTAGTTTCCTTCTTGAAAATACAGTGATAAATTATTTTTCCGTTATGTAATATTTTAATTATCAGAATTACCGGTTTGCAATAAGACAGTCTGCCTTGGATTATCGCTCATGTACGTGTGACAATTATTACAATTGCATCTTTGGTGTAAAACCAATTTTATTTATGTTTATTCCCTTTTGAGGTCGTCCTGTGTGTTATATTAATTGAGCTCCGTTCTGGTCGGATGCGCGAACCGGGTCGCGTGCTCGTAACGAGTGACGCGTGCTTAAATGACCACGTGTAATGAGTGTGCTTTGAGACCCGAGACAAGCCACTGCTCTCCTTAATTCCCTAAGAGTTTCAATCGGCTTTATACGCCAATTGGAAAATTGTCGATTTGAACTATTATTACACAGTATCCATGCTTACAATAAATACTGAACTATATAAGTAAAACTGATTCTGTTGAAAATGGTTGTAAGTCAATTTTGTGTTAAACGTTACACTATGATACAGTTCAACTTACGAATTAATGAAATTTCATCCGTATTTTATGAAATATTCATTGGGTTTTAAGGTCGAAAAATTTGGTGAACATTCAACGCTTTGAAGCTTGGTTTTGTGTTATTTTCGTCTGTTTATCCTCGCTCTGTAGGTCTGGATGACTGTAACTGATGACGAAGAGCGAAAACGCGTCTCACAGATCGAAGTGATTGGAAACAATCAAGCTACAAACTGTAAATGTTTTATGAAAAAGAGGAACCGAGAAGTTTTTTTTTATACGATTTTCTGCTGCGGATTTTTTGAAAATCCAAAAAATGGTAATAGGATTGGAATATCTTCATTGATCAACAAGAAATTTTTGATTTTAGAACCTCATAAATTACACGAAATGGAATAAACTGGATCTTAGTTAATAAATCAGAACCGGAGATATAACATAAAACGTTTTGGAACTTTTAGTCTAATTTATACTTATTTTTCTCATGAAATGAGAGAAATTCGGCCTATTAACAGTTGTAATAATGTTGAATTTGGATAAAATATATAGTTGTTATGCTTTTCTATATTGAGCACCGAATATCGCAGGCAAAAAACCTATTGGTCTATTTTGATTAAACATTGAATAAGATGCGACGCGATGAGGTAAGAAGATAGTCCAGTTTTTAAATTTCTTAATTTAATTCTCCAATCAATCAAGGTTGTTTTGAAAAGAATTGCAACCACGTTTTTGGAATTTCTTTTTTCACCTTCATTATATGACTCCTCAAATCCTCATCGCTTTCAGCCATCAAAGTGGTTCAATCTGCATATCTGTTACCGTTTCTTCCAAAGATTTTAACTCCAGCCTTGGATTCTTCAAGCCCAGCACGTCGTATGATGTGTTCTGCTTACAGGTTGAATAGGTAGGGTGAGAGTATAC